TGATCACAAATCACTCAGTTTTAATATATCATGGAATTCCCCTAATAATGGCAATCAAGTCTCCGTCCCTGACTTTCGCTTGGCTGATTTCATAGGACTGAAAAATTACTTAGGTGGGCTGAACTGGAATGACCTGACTAAGGGTCAGGTAGGTGGTGATGGTTGCCGATATGATGCTTTCCAGGGCATAGTTCTAGCTGCTCAGTCAAATTATGTTCCAAATAGGGAAATCAGATCAAACAAAAATGATCCTAAATGGATGAACAATAGATTAAAATATCTGATTGGTCAAAAGAGAGGCATATATAGGCAAATCAAAAGAGGAGAGGGGCAATTAAGAAATCGATATATTCAGTTTAAAGAGAGAAATAAAAATGGGAATAGAAAAGCAAAAAGAGATTATGAGGTTAAAGTTGCAAGAGAATCGAAGACTAACCCAAAAGGATTCTTTCAGGTATACAGAAGTAAGATCAGGGACAAGATAGGCCCACTCAAAAGTTCCTCGGGTCAGCTCACTGACAGTGATAAGGAAATGTGTAGAATTTTTAACACATACTTCCTCTCAGTTTTTTACACAGGAGGATACCAGCGATATTCCAGTAATGATAAATTATGTAGAACAGGACGATAATAAACTGTGCACGATTAGGGTCACAAGTGACATGGTCCTTAGGCAAATAGATAAATTAAAACCTAACAAATCCCCAGGCCCTGATGAACTGTATGCAAGGGTTCTAAGGAATGTAAAGAGGAGCTTAGCACACCTTTGGCTAATCTTTTCAACATATCACTACAAACTGGCATGGTGCCAGATAAGTGGAAAATGGCAAATGTGATACCTATTTTCAAAACAGGTGACAGGTCCTTAGCTTCGAACTATAGACCAATAAGCCTAACCTCCATAGTGGGAAAATTTTATGGAATCAATAATTGCCGAGGCAGTTCGTAGCCACCTTGAAAAGCATAAATTAATCAACGAATCTCAGCATGGTTTTACAAAGGGGCGTTCCTGCCTTACGAATTTATTAACTTTTTTCACTAAGGTATTTGAGGAGGTAATCATGGTAATGAATATGATATTGTGTATATGGACTTCAGTAAGGCTTTTGACAGGGTCCCACATCAGAGACTATTGAGGAAAATTAAAGCACATGGAATAGGAGGAGAAATTTTTTCCTGGATAGAGGCATGGTTGACAAATAGGCAGCAGAGAGTTTGCATAAATGGGAGAAATCAGAGTGGGGAAGCGTCACGAGCGGTGTTCCACAGGGGTCAGTGTTGGGCCCCCTGCTGTTCACAATCTACATAAACGACGTAGATGAGGGCATAAAGAGCGACATCGGCAAGTTTGCCGATGACACCAAAATAGGCCGTCGAATTCATTCTGACGAGGACATTCGAGCACTTCAGAAGATTTGAATAGACTGATGCAGTGGTCGGAGAAGTGGCAGATGCAGTTTAATATAGACAAATGCAAAGTTCTAAATGTTGGACAGGACAATAACCATGCCACATATAAACTAAATAATGTAGATCTTAATATTACGGATTGCGAAAAAGATTTAGGAGTTCTGGTTAGCAGTAATCTGAAACCAAGACAACAGTGCATAAGTGTTCGCAATAAAGCTAATAGAAATCCTGGCTTCATATCAAGAAGCATAAATAATAGGAGTCCTCAGGTTGTTCTTCAACTCTATACATCCTTGGTTAGGCCTCATTTAGATTATGCTGCACAGTTTTGGTCACCGTATTACAGAATGGATATAAATTCTCTGGAAAATGTACAAAGGAGGATGACAAAGTTGATCCCATGTATCAGAAACCTTCCCTATGAGGATAGACTAAGGGCCTTGAATCTGCACTCTCTAGAAAGACGTAGAATTAGGGGGATATGATTGAAGTGTATAAATGGAAGACAGGAATAAATAAAGGGGATGTAAATAGTGTGCTGAAAATATCTAGCCTAGACAGGACTCGCAGCAATGGTTTAAGTTGGAAAAATTCAGATTCAGGAAGGATATAGGAAAGTACTGGTTTGGTAATAGAGTTGTGGATGAGTGGAACAAACTCCCGAGTACAGTTATAGAGGCCAGAACGTTGTGTAGCTTTAAAAATAGGTTGGATAAATACATGAGTGGATGTGGGTGGGTGTGAGTTGGACCTGATAGCTTGTGCTACCAGGTCGGTTGCCGTGTTCCTCCCTTAAGTCAATGTGACCTGACCTGACTAGGTTGGGTGCATTGGCTTAAGCCGGTAGGAGACTTGGACCTGCCTTGCATGGGCCAGTAGGCCTTCTGCAGTGTTCCTTCGTTCTTATGTTCTTGTATTCTGTGTTTGTTGGGGGGATTTTGTTATTGGCATCGGTCGTTGTAATTCTGGAGGGCCATGGGTGGCCACTGGCTGCGCCTCCAGTCCAACAAGGCTCCAAGGTGGTGGACTATTTTTGTTATTTCCTTCCATTTTCTTTTTCCGTTTCCTGGCGCTAAAAAATCACCTGGAGTTGGGTTGTCGTAGCTACTATTGTTTGTCTTGTGGGGTCTGTGCCTCCTGGTCCCTTTTAGATGGTATGCAGGGCAGTCGATGTTGTAACACTGCTTCTGGAGGACCGAGGAGTGACACATTTTTGGGTGAAAGAAATACAGAAGAAGAACGACACACTCCTTTTAGAAGAGGTCGCTACATTTTTTGGGATGCTCAAGGTTGCATGTCCCATTGTTTTTTCTTGATATTCCATGCTTACAGATGCCCCAAGCATAATATTTGCACAAATTCACCTTTGGTCGAGAATTGTTGGGAGGTGTGTTGTCATTTTCTGCAGGTTTTGGGACTCCCTATAACCCCATATCCAACCCGGGCCCCCCGGGCCCATCTACTTTCCTCAGGGGAAGGGGGAAAAGGAGACTCCTCTCCAACATCTTACTGTGAGCCACGTCTTGTGCAATGGGGGTTTTTATTTTTAGGGTTTTAGTATGGGTTGGGGGGGGGGTCCCTAGTAGAGTCTGGGGTGGCAGAAGGATGGGGGCTGGTCTGAGTCAGCATGGGGCTGGGGGGGTGAGCCTGGGGCCCCAAACCCACTGTGGGTATTAGTGCTATGACGGGGAACCTGGGGGCCGCACCACACTGTGGGGATTAGTGTAGACGGGGGGGTGGGTCTGGTTTTTGCACTATGTGGGTGACTAGAAATTTCGATCATTTGTTGTGGGAGGGCATTCTGCATTTTTTGATACACTATCTCTTGCTCCCCTGTTTTTATATTTTTGGTAGACATCCAAGGGTCATCCTTGTTTTCTTTTATTATTTTTTTCATTTATGACTCTCCTTAGTACCTTTCTGATACCTGCCCAAATTTCAAACATCTTTATTGCACAACCAGAAGCACCCTTGCTAGTTCGAGGTCATTTTTTGAGGCTGTATTTAGCTCTAGTACAAGAGATATGGTGTTTGAAGAGCATAGGTTGCATGTGATCTGGAATTCCTCCAAGGATTTTTTTTACATGTCCTACACAGATATGCTGGTCTACATCCTGTCTGTATCCTACTACAACTGTATGCCACGGAAGGAAAACTGAATTTCCCACTTTACCTTATCTCGTGCTGGTGCCAGTAATATGCAAGATGTATTTATACGATACCAGTTGCAGTATGTGGGTGTGTGTAGGGTGCGTAAAGGGTGGGTGTAGGGTAGGGTGGTGGTGCAGGGTTGGAGGTGTGCAGGGTGGTGTTGGGGTGGGTGGTGTGGGTGCAGGGTGGGGTGGTGGTGTAGGGTGGTGGTGGTGTAGGGTGGGTGGTGGGTTGTAGGGTGGGGTGGTGTGCATGTGGGTGGTGGTGTAGGTGGGTGGTGGGTGGCAGTGATTGTGGATGCCGGCAGACCTTGTCTCACACGACCACACTTCACTTAGTTTGTCCTGACGCAACTTCCCGCGTACACTTCTAAGGAAAAGATTTTTTCCTGTTTTGTAGAGGTAAGCGGTTGGTATCTCACTTATAATTATGCTGTGATTCACTGCACCTCCATGCTACCATCACTCGTTCATATCATGTCACCCTGACTATATATTAACTTATCCTGTTTATTAACGACCTCACTGGACCTCTGGCAATAGTTCGCTAGTGCCAGTCGCTTGTAAGATATTCCCCTTTCTATACTATATATTGTACGCTATACTTGGGGATAATTTAGATTACTCTTATCTACAATTTAGTTCACTATGCCACTGCACATAAATATCCTTGTCACTCACTATATTACTTTATTTCCACTTGTGTCGACACCCGGCAATAATTCACTAGTGCTGGTCAGGTCTATTTCCCACGGTAACCGTTTCTCCACCGGCACTCTCTATGTGACAGCAGTATGGGTGTGGGGGCCTTATACTAGAAGTGGTTTTTGACTTGTTTTTGGCATATGAAAAGAAATATTTCGAATTTCTTTCAACTTCATTAATCGCTTTTAGCTTCTCTTGTCTCTCCTCAATATTTTCCACTTCCCTGGTTAGCGCTTCCTTCCGTGTTTCAAATAATCTGGCATTCTTGAGGAGCTCAATGATTCTTCGTCTTCTCCTGTAGTTTGGAAATTTGGAGGAGGTGCAGGGTTACTAAAAGTGTGCGTGAGCCTGCTAGGAGCGAATGAAGACAACTGGTTTTTATGATTTGATGTGCTGTTGGAGTGTGAACAAAGTAGCATTTATAAAGGGATTCAGGGAAACCAGCAAACCGGACTTGAGTCCCGGAGATGGGAAGTACAGTGCGTGCATCCTGAAGGAGGGGTGTTGATACTGCAGTTTTGTAACTGTAGTGTAGGGGCCCCACTGGCAAGACAGTGATGAAGTGAATGGCGATGAAAGTGTTGCTTCTTTTCGGGTCACCCTGCCTTGGTGGGAGGCGGCCGATGTGTTAATAAAAAAATATATATTAAAATATGTAACTCAGTGATTTTAGATTTTGTCTTATGAAAAGAATTTTCAGGAAAATTTGCATATAAACTTTTGTTATTGCAGGCAGGGTGAGAGGTTCACCCTTGTGGGAGATGGTCAACAACTTCAGAGGAGAGGGATACGAAGAGGAGCTGATGGTGCTGGAGAAGGCACCCGAGGAACCTGCTGGTGAACTCCCTTCATTAGTTGTGAAGGTCGAGGAGACGAGTACTGGAAGAGAGAACATTAAAGTTCAGGAGAAGATCACCAGTTCTCCTTCCTCTCCGTTGTTGGTTCTTCTCCTGAGTTCTATGCCTCGTGGGGGCTCGACCCTCCTAACGGAGATGCTGTCGACGAAAGAGAGGTCTATTACGTTTTTCGAGCCACTGTGGCCTTTACAGAAGAAAAAGTGTATAGAGGACGAGCAGTGTGTGACACAGTACCTGGCTGACGTGTTTGCTTGCAACTACAATCCAGATTTCGAGAGGTGGTTGAAAACGAAGGATTTGTTCCTCAGCTACTTCAGTAGCGATGCTAAAGAATGCACGCGTATAACTGACCAAAAAGCTAAAGAGTTATGTCTCAAGAAACTGAATTTGCGCGAGATGTGTTTATTGTCACCCATCAGGATCATCAAAGTCATACGCGCGAGGATGGCGTGGATGAAAAACTTGTTATCGAATAATTCGCTCGACCTCAAGATCATCCACCTTATCAGGGACCCCCGCGGCTCGCTTTACTCCATCAGCAAATTCAAAGATTGGAATAAGGATCCACACGAGAGATGCTTAGGTCTACAAGAGGACTTGCAATCGTTTGATCAGCTTTCTCAAGAATTTCCAACCAAATTACTACAGGTTAAATACGAGAACCTGAGCCTTCACCCTCACAACGTATCTAAAGACATTTTACAGTTCCTTTACGGCGATGGGAATCTGCCAGAATATCTAGTGACTTACATTTCCACTCATATGACCAATAATTCGGAAAGTCATTCTATGAGTACAACGAAAGAAAGCAAAAAACAATACGAAGCCTGGCGCTTCAAGATGCCACAAAAAATGCTGAAAGCTGTGCAGGATGAACCCACTTGCCTGTACTCCATAAAATACATGCAACACACACTATTTAAAGATCAGAAACATGCCAGAAATTCCAGTATATCCCTATTTGTCTCCTGAGCCTGCCGGGGTAATGTAACTTCTAAGAACTAAAAAAAATGCCTTCTATAATATATATATATATATATATATATATATATAAATATATATATATATATATATATATATATATATATATATAGCATTTTTTTAAATTCAGTTTATTAAAAACTTCAACGAAATATTGAGTTTTTATGTGAATTTAGATGTTTTTCCTGTTATGTGTATGTATAGTCGAGCAGCTTCTGTTAAACGCGATGTGCCTCAGCAGTGCTCAAGTGTTTCTCTGGGAAGTGCAGAGGTCACGCACAGGTCACACTTGTTAACAGTGACGGCCCCACATGCCAGGGAATTTTTCGTTGGCTATCCCTATTTCCTCTCTAGGCATTGACCCTCAGTTCACCCACAGTGGTGTGACCCTTAGCCAGGCCACACCTGTCACCACCAGTGGTGTGGCCCTTAACCAAACCACACCTATCACCACCAGTGAGATGTTTCTGCGGCACTGTCTCAGTTTACCAATTTAAACCCATGATCTCATCCGCTATGAATCCGAGGAAAAGATCGGAAGACACGAGAACGACATTAATATCAGAAGTCTCGCAACAGAACATTGCAACTCCCCTTAATTAAAGCCATTGCCCATCTCGCTACTCATATTGCCCAACAGCCATTTAAATCCAACAACAGCTAAATGGAGTCGCCACGTTACCTTGAGCAGATACTACACTAATGTGGGAATAAACATCTGCACTTACAGTGATGCCATCAGTTTCAAGGAAAACCCAGAAGGTCTTCAAATACTAGCATAAGAAATGGCTAAAACAAAACTCAGAATGTTTCATTTTTCGTTAATCGCAGCCAACTGTTTATGTTAGATATTTAGGCTAAGACGCGTACATTTAGAACTAACAGTTCGTTATTTATTGCTTCTTTGGGGCCTAGTTCCTAGGCCTTTTGTGTATCCATATGCTCTCGCGCTACCGTCCACAGGATGGATATGGGGTGCACAATAAACTAGCCACTTCGGTGGCAAAATCTAAATCTAAATCTATTAATGTGATAGCCAGGAGAAAACGAACAGGTGTTATGCCAGTGTCAACACAAACACAACTTACGTATAACCTTACAGGTGCGTGTTGCACATCACAACAGCTCCGTCATGGCATTCCCAGAGACCCATAATATAGTGGGAGAAAGTGTGCGCGTCAGGTTCTTGAGAGAGATAAGTGATAAACCTTTCAGTGAAATTCATGATAAAAGAGGAAATAATTCCTTGTTCTAGCAACTCAGTGTGGCTCTCCAGAGAGGTAGAGCCCGCTACATACTAAGCATACGACCTACTTCTTACAAACTGGAGGTGGTTTTAGAAATATACATTTTTCACATGTTATAAAATAGTATTGTATCCAATAATTATTGTATCC